TCGCGTCATCGCCTATGCGTCCAGAACACTCACCGAAACAGAGAAGAGGTACGCCCAAATCGAAAAAGAAGGTTTGGCACTCATGTGGGCATGCGAAAAATTCCGAGATTACATCGTGGGAACGCACTTTGTACTGAAAACCGACAACAAACCACTCATTTCTCTGTTCGGATCGAAGTCATTGGACGACCTAACCCCACGGCTTCAGAGACTGCGCATGCGTTTAATGCGCTACTCATTCGAAGTTGTCCATGTTCCGGGCAAGGACCTCCAAGCAGCTGACTCGTTGTCAAGAAGCCCTCTGCCACAGCGGCAAGAAAGAGAGATGCAATAAGAAATCGATTGCTTCATTCGACACATAGAGACGTCCCTACCAGCAGAGCAAACGAGTCTCCAATGGATAAGGGCAGAACAGAAGAAAGACCATGTTTGCCAAAGACTCGCCAGCTACAGCCATACAGGTTGGCCAAATCGTCGAGATCTCGGAACAGACCTCAAAGAGTACTACGAGTACCGTCATCACATTGCTGTGCAAAACAGCCTTCTCATGAATGGTTCTAGAATAGTGGTACCAGAATCCTGCCGTCCACATATTCTGCAACAACTTCATGAAGGACACATGGGCATAGGCAAATGCAAAGCACGGGCAAAGGTATCGGTATGGTGGCCGAGGATAAACGATCATATCGAGCGCCTGGTCAAGAACTGCCAAAAATGCATTAAAACTGGCCAGAACCGAAAGCTCCCCCTCATCCCGTCAGAGTTTCCTAGTCGACCGTGGGAGAGAGTGGCGATGGACCTCTTCTTCATTCACGGGAAATGGTGGCCGGTCGTCGTCTACTACTACTCTCGCTACCCCTAAATCGCTTGACTGGAAAGCCTCACAGCAGCGTGCGTAATAATGCACTGCAAATCGATATTTGCGACGCTTGGCATCCCAGAAGTAGTGGTGTCTGATAATGGTCCTCAGTTTGCGGGAACCACAGGTTCAGCATTCACCAAGTTCTCACAGACCTACGGATTTAAGCACATCACATCAAGCCCTCGCTATGCGCAGAGCAATGGGATGGCAGAGGCTGCAGTAAAGATCATAAAGAGATCACTCAGCAAAACAGAAGATCCGTACGAGACACTCATGATCTACCGTTCAACGCCTCTGCCCAACGGATACAGTCCGACAGAACTTCTCATGGGGAGAAGGATGCGTACAACGGTACCGATCGCCACTCAGCTCCTGGAACCAAAGCTACCCGACCAAAAAGAACTGCGTCGCTATGAGCAAGAAAACAGGAACCGACAAAAGCAATACTTCGACCGGCGACACGGAGTGCATCAACTCGATCCACTCGGCTCTGGAGAGCGAGTTTGGGTCATTGACCTCAAGCGAACCGGAGTTGTTCAGAACAAGGCCCATGCACCACGATCTTACTAGATAACGTCCGAGGGCCAAGAGATCCGAAGAAATCGCACGCATTTAATTCCTTTCCCCGACGAACAAGATAAACAACGCATCGAAGAGTTCCCCGAAACAACCACGAGGCCCGAGGAAACGTGTGCTGACACCTCTCACAAACATTCTCGGCACGGCCGGTGTGTAAAAGAGCCAGACCGTTTCGGCACTTCGAAGCTCCCTTAGGAAGAGGGATGTTATGGAGGTCGCCGACGCGCCGACGCTAGCGAGCTCCAAAGTCCAAAGCGACCGAGCGAGAGCAACCGTTCGCGCGCGGAGCCCCGTCCCGCCACTTCGCGCGTAACCTGAGCGCCCCGTACCAGGGGCACCTTTCTTTTATTTCGTTTTAGATTTAATAAACGGTACGTCAGTCTTCAGCCTGACTCCGGCACGAAAGGTTGTCCATGTGTGCCCTTCGCAAAAGAACGTAAAACGAAACACGCAGCTCTTAGGGGCCCGTTTCCGGCTTGAGCGGCGTCGGCGTCGCCGTCGCCGTCGGCGTAACCAAGGTCACCCCAAGGTCACGTGACCCCTCTCAAGGTCACCCCAAGGTCACGTGACCCCCGGTCACGTGACCCCTCCCAAGGTCACCCCAAGGTCACGTGACCCCCAGGCCACCTGACCCCCAAGTCACGTGACTCCCCCGGTCACGTGACCTCCCAGGTCACGTGACCCCCAAGGTCAGGTGACCCCCAAGGTCTGTAACCCCTAGGGTCACGTGATCCTCACAAGGTCACGTGACCCCCAAGGTGTCGTGACCCCCCGAGATCACGTGGCCCCCCAGGTCACGTGGCCCCCTCCCCGAGGTCACGTGACCCCCCCCCCCCGAGGTCACGTGACCCCCTCCCACCGAGGTCAGGTGACCCCCCGGAGCATATTGAAGAATGAGGGGAGGAGGAGGAGGAGGGGTCTACCCTCCCCTCAGTATCCTTCCCTCCTCCTCCTCAAGAGCTGTGCTCCAATTCGGCATTACAGGGAGTTGTAACAACAATCCGTAAGAGAAAATAATGTCATTTCTTTAGATCTTGGTAATCTAGAAGCAAACGAGTCTGTATATCCATCGCGACGTAGGCCCCCCTGGCGTATTCCCTTTTCAAGGACAAATTTTGGTCTACAAAGATATCGCCACCAGTTACCACTTTTATTAAACACCCTGTTTTCGCGTGATATTGAAATGCACTCCGTTAGTCATTATTCCATTCAAGAAGCTTTATAATAAGTAACCACCACTTTTTTGTATACTGTTGATTGCGAAGTTGAATTCTTTATGTTTTTCTCGTGTTTATCCTCTGTATATGTGTATGCCTATGTATGTGTGCGCATATTCGTTCTTTTTTGTCTGTGTGTGCCGGTGCCGCTCTTACCATGTTCTGGGGTGCTGGGACTCGTCAAGCTGCAGACCTGCAGCTTTTTTTCCAGCGCCCCTGTCACAAATGTACCGTTTGTGGCAAAAATAAACGAATTTGAATTTGAATTTGAATTTGAGTAAACGGCTTTCACTTTTGTCTTCTTCGACAAATGAAGAGTCGAAATTGTTGCTAAGACGGTGGAACTGACCAGTCTTTTAATGCGACTGGTGCAGCAGTTAACTGGAACAAATGCTCCGGTTTCTGTCACGGCTTCTAGGCCACGACGTCCTCGACTTTTAAGGGCATAAGTTGAACCTTTGTGCTAGCCAGCTACCTCGGCACGCCACTAAGCTCGTTCCGTAACAGCTGGGTGTACTGGTCGGACATTGCTGCCGACCTGGGTTGGGGTGCTTCGAGATGCAACACACAGCGATCTTGCCATCTTCACCCGAGCAACAGTGTGTAATGTTTTTCTAAGGGCAAAGCTGTGGTATGCATCATAAGTACTTCACTGCGTTTGCATGAGTATTCACAAATTTCCAGAGATGTCTCCCGTTTCGCACGGGTGACATCTCTTGTCTCCCGTGCGAAACGGCGCCGTGTTGTTTGAAGTCCGGTGTCTTCGTTGCGTTTCCAAAGGAGCTACGCCTTTTTCTTTCTTTACTTTTTCCTCAGGTAAGTTCGTTCTTTGCAAACTTTACAAAAAAAAAATGCACCATCTGTGGGAAACAGAGCACAAAGTCGTAGCGCGATAGGTTAAAAAAACGAATTTTGCGGTCGATTTAAAGAGCCTGGCGTTTCATTGAATCACCCTGTAATTCAACGCCTCCGCCTCTGACGCTACAATGCCTCATGTGACGTCACGACACGAACAGTCATGCATTTTTGCGAAATTTGGCGTGAAAACTCGTATTGATGTTCATAATTCATTTAACAAATATAGGGGCGTATTTTAATCAAATGAATATCACATCTAACAATATTCACGACCTTTCAACATAATCAGCGCAAAAACGTAGGTTTTTGCGCTGATCAAGCGATTGTCTCCGGACAATCGCTTAAGCTAAAACGAGATATACAGGCAAGGCCGAAACGTTTGGAGGCGCGACGTCACCGACGTCACCAACGTCACATGGAGAAGGTAACTCTGAATGTTGGACATATCGTTTGGCTTCCCATTTTTTCACGCTTTCGGAGAGTTGGTGATGTAGTGTCATATGAAAAATGTTTCAACAGTGAGTCAAATACGATTTTATCTTCACTCATTTGTTTAATTTTGTGTTTTAATTATTCAAAATCATAATATATAATTTAATTAAAATATCGAAAGGTCCAAGGTTAAGTAACATAGCAAACGAAACTGCCACGTATTGATCAAAGGGTGTGGCATCCGGCGGTAGCATTTCAACCGAATGCGCTGAAACGCAGCCTGTCGTCAACAGTCACAAATGACATAAAAACAGTTATAGTGTGTACGATTGCATTCAAAAGCAAGTGTGTCGACCAGCATCTATCGGTAAGCTGCCTAATCTTAAAGGTATCTCTTTATTCTAAATATGAAGCGGTTATTTTGGGGATTTATTTTTTTTATCCGATCCATTGTTCTCTAGTGTCAATTTTTTATGTCGAGGAAACGAGCGGTGCTTATCGAGGATTATGTTGAAGAAAGTGGAACTGGAGCATAGGATTTCTGAATCCTTATGTAACATGCCCATGTTCGGAATACGATAAGAGAAGGAAACGTAGCACTAAGAGAAGGAAACGAGATAACGGGTATGATTCCGAAGAAACCAGATCCTTGATGTGTTTCAGGAAACATATAACCCCGAATTGAACATGCACTTGAATCACAGAATTCTAAGCTTAACTGGAAGAAATGACTACCTACTGTTTTTTTTTTCGTGTTAAGGCGGAACACATCCCACACCGAGGCTGTTTCTTTTTTTCGGAATTACACCGCTTAACGTGTTTCCTTATCGTATCAGTAGCGGGACATATAGAGGTGAGGGAACTTTATGCTTCCGTTCTTCAACACAATTACCGATCAACATGCATCATTACCTTGATACAAAAAAAAGAGATAATTCGTTTAAAAAAACTAAGTTAAAAACACCCCAAATATGAAAAAAAATTAACGCCGCCACTGCGTAACCCTCATTTCCATCAAAACTCGTTACGCGTGCAAGGAAACGTCCTCTTACCTGAAGGCCGCCAGTTGAACTGCCATCTGCGTGTAGCCGTCCGGACTCATGTTGTACGACTGGATGAACTTTTTTCCATAGTTTGAAAATTGATAGAAGAGCCTTTCAGTACCGCCGGCATATCTGTGGTGTTAATTGTCAATATTATGAATTACAGTATTCTAAACCGGTAATCGCAACTCGTTACCCTTTTTTTCTCTTTCTTTTAAAGTATCATTTTCGCGAAATGCTGCTGAAGAACAATATGGCTCTCATCTCTGACAAATTTCGAAAAGTCAAATCGGGACGAAGGAACATAAGAAACATAAAAATTGAATTTCAATATATATTTACAGATATCAAACTCGACCCCTCTGGACCTAGCCATAGAGGTGGCTTGCACATGACGTCAGACCGCCCTTTTCTCTGATGACCGGATGCGTATTTGTTAATGCAGCGGAAGCTCGCGCCCTTTCCCTCTTATGTCCGGCCTAGTGACGTCAGTGCAAGCTATGTACACCTACGACCTATTTGCCGACTCCTGTTTGCTCCCAATAAATATAGCAGGTTAAAATAATTCTCTTCAGAGAACTTCGGCGGCTGGAAAATCAAATTTTGAAAAGTAGTACTGCCCGTCATATTGTGTATAATTATAACAAGGATAGCCAGTGTTTCGTACGTTGTAAAAAAAAAAACAAAAAAAATGAAACAAATTAGCGCCTGCAATCAGACAACTTAATCTTTTACGAAATGTGCATTTGGGTAGTCCATTTTACCTTGTGATATTTCAAAACGTATCTCTCTTTCTGTAATAAATCATACTAGCACACTTCCCTAGTCAACTCTGGAAGTGATCTCAGACCATAAATTAACCATGAATGTAACCTACGGCGGCATCTCCAGAAATGCGCACCTAGCAGTCAACAAAGTCCGTCGAATGTTTACTTCACCTATTAAGAAACAGTGCAAAAAAATTTACCGACTTGACCGTCAAGTTTGTTAGTCTCATTTTGTTTTTAGAAAACGAGAACTAATCCGTGTAAAAGTTTAAACGGTAAAATCCACAATCCAGCTGCACATTTGGTGAAGGTTAGAGCTTTCTATGCGCAGCCGCCGATGTATTCAGTTCATTTTATTGTGTAAAAAACATTGTCGGCACTTTCTACTTGCGTTGGGTGATCTTCAGCATCTTTGAGATATAAAAATCCGTGATAATGCCCCCAGTGTGTTGAGATGTGCGAGTAGAATGGCCAACTTTGTTGTTGCCATAACGGAATTAAATGCTTAAAAGGCAAATATCTGTTTAAAATAATCTCTGTCTCACGCGTGACATTCCCAGTGAGTGTTCCTGCAGGATCTATCGCAGGCCAAAAAGTGAACCGTCCATCAATACCTTGATGTCTAATATCTGATTTCAGGTTGGTCCTGCAGATGGTATACTGACCTTGCATGGGACGATTTCGCTTTCTCTATATCGTGTAACGTATCGGGCCCAAGAACAAATTCCAGTTTTTGTGGAGCTGCTTCCGCGTCGTCCTTAGATGCTTCGAAGCTCCCTGCCTTCTGGCTGCAATATTCGGCATTTATGTTAACGACACACTTTAAGTACATGTTCAGATATAGAGAATAAAATAGCGAGCACTTCGTCCACAGTGCCAACCAACGTATATATATATATATATATATATATTGCCAAGGACGGCAAGTGATGAGGCGATAATAACTAAACGTTTAGTGGGGCCCAAAATTGTTCCCAAAAAATAAAAAAGGGGACAGAATACAGCAGAGCGTCGCGGGCGTCGAAGTCGGCGTGACAGCAGAGTCAAACACTGAGGCGAAACTGACTAGGCTCGCCTTGCGGAACCCCTTATGTACCCTCGTGGGCTTCTGGATCGTTCGGCGCAGACCTTTCGGAGCGTAGAACATTTGGAACTCGATTAGACGAAAATGTTCTCGAACTTACTAGAAGGCCAAGTTGAATGAATAAATAAAATGACAGTCCGCTAACTGGAATCGAACCTACACCTTCCGCGCGACAGTCAAGCGCGTTAACCACTCGGCCACGCACGCGCCTGCTCGCCAACGCGCGTGGAATTACCCCCCCCCCTCCCTCTCTCTTTAAAAGCGCATCGTCTCGATGCGACATGCCGGAAAACAGAAACGGTAAAACAAATAATAATGGCAAACTACGTAGACTTGTGCGACATAATCCTATCAAGCGCATTACAAAACAAAACTCACAGTCCTATCGATTGTATACAGTACGGCCTGGGGCGCACTCTATGGAAGACTGCCGGTAGTGGAGAGCGGCGTGATGAAGTCCGTGTTTCGTCGGGCATCACCTCGTAGTTCAGATCCCTGAGTCGACGGAGCACTTTGTAGGGTCTAAAAAAGCACTTCAGAAGTTTCTTGCTGAGACCTCGCCGGTGAATCGGTGTCCAGACCCACACCCTGTCTCCGGGCTGGAAGTGGACGTCCCGACGACGAAGGTTGTAGCGGCCCGCGTCGACGCGTTGCTGGTCTTGAATCAGGAGTCGGGAGAGCTGACGGACTTCTCCAGCCCGTTTAGAAACCACCTGGGCGTCGTCGCTCTCATTGTCAGATAGCTCATGGGCCAGCATGGCGTATAGCATGGTGTTCACCTTCCGACCATGAACCAGCTGGAAAGGATAGAATTCAGTGGTCTCTTGAACCGCCGTATTGTAGGCGAACGTGACGTAGGGCAACACCTCGTCCCACGTCTTGTGCTCTGCGTCGACGTAGATAGAGATCATGCCGGCGATTGTCTTGTTGAGTCGCTCCGTCAGCCCGTTGGTCTGCGGGTCGTACGCTGTGGTACGACGATCGCTGATGTGACTGAGCCGGAGGATTTCCTGGGTTATCTGTGCCATGAACGATGATGCGCGATCTGTAATCAGAACTTCGGGAGCGCCGTGCCAGAGGACGATGGACTCGATGAAAAATTTTCCGACTTCCACAGCAGTCCCTGAAGGAAGGTCTTTCGTTTCGGCGTGCCGCGTGATATAATTTGTGGCGACGATTATCAACCAGCGGTTTCCCGACTTTGATGGCGGAAAAGGGCCAAGCAGATCCATTTTGATCTGCTGGAACGGTGCGATCGGGGAAGCAATCGGCTGTAGGAGACCTGCCGGCTTCGTCTGCGGTTTCTTACGTCGCTGGCATTCGTGACACGATCAAGTGTAGAGGTGGACGGCTTTGGCCAGCTTTGGCCAGTAATACTTTTCTCGAATGCGGGCCAGTGTTTGGCTGTAACCCAGGTGTCCAGAAGTCGGGTCGTCGTTACATGCCTGAAAGATCTCCTCCCGAAGGTCGGTCGTGATTACCAGCAACCACGGTGTGTTGTTGTCCCCGAAATTCTCTTTGTAGAGCACACCTTGTCGAATGGCGAAGTTTCGGCAGTACTTGTGAGAAGACACGTGGCACGGTACTCCCGCCCCCTTCCAGATGCTCGATTAATGCGCGCAGCTCAGGATCGTCCCGTTGACGTCGTGATATGTCGTCGGTGTTCACTGCTCCTATGAAGCACTCGTCGTCATTGTCGTCGCTGCAGCCGGAAGGGTTTTCGACGGAGGCTCTGGACAGGCAGTAAGTCTCGCTGTGCTTCCGACCTGACTTGTAGACCACTGTCATGTTGAACCCGTAGTCGGAGACTCCATCGAGCGAGGCGTCCTGACGAGTCCTTGAGGTTCGCAAGCCAGCAAAGCGAGTGGTGGTCCGTCACCACGCGGAACGGGCTCCCTTGCAACTACGTCCAAAGCTTTGTGGTTGCCTAAACGACAGCAAGGCATTCATTCTCTGTAGTAGAGTAATTTTTCTTCTCCTTAGACAGTGTCCTATTTGCGTAGGCGACGACTCGCTCGATGCCTTCTTGCACTTGGACCAGTACTGCGCCCAGTCCCGCGTTACTTGCATCCATGTGAATCTCGGTTTCCGCATCCTGATCGAAATGTCCAAGCACAGAAGGAGTCTGGGGTCGTCGTTTCAGCTCGTCGAATGTCTGCTGCTGCTCCTTGGCCCATTCGAACTTCTCGGCGTCCGTCGTGAGTTTTGTGAGCGGTGCGGAAATTTTAGCGAAATCCCGAACGAAGCGTCGATAGTAGGCGCAAAGTCCAAGGAATCTTTGCACGGCCTTCTTGCCTGTTGGCGCTGGAGTCTTCTTGGGGTCTGGGCGGACGCCTTTTTTACTAACCACGTGGCCTAGAAACTCCACTTCGTCATAGGCGAACCGGCACTTTGACGGATTGAGTGTGAGTCCGGCGGTCTGAATGGCTTGGAGAACAGCTCGAATTCACCGCAAGTGCTCGTCGAAGTCACTTGAAAACAAAAACACTACGACGTCGTCAAGGCAGACGACACAGCTCTGCCGCTTCAACCCTGCCTGTACCGCGCCTATGACACGCTGGAAAGTTGCCGGCGCCGTGCATAGGCCGAAAGGCATCACCTTCAACTCGTACAGGCCAGGCGTGGCGAAAGCTGTCTTCTATTGGTCCCGTTCGTCGACTACGATCTGCCAGTAGCCGCTCTTCAGGTCCATCGATAAAATGTATCGAGAGTGGCGCAGCCGGTCTAGCGCGTCATCGATTCGGGGGAATGGATAGACGTCTTTCTTCGTTACCGCGTTCAGCTTCCGGTAGTCCACGCAGAACCTAAGCGTTCCGTCCTTGTTCTTAACCAGCACGACTTGAGAGGCCCATGGACCCCTTGAAGGCTGGATAACGTCGTCGTTCAGCATTTCTTCCGCTTGCTGTTGGATGACCTCCAATACTTTTATTGGGACTCGATACGGCGATCGGTGCACAGGGAGTGGGTCATCCTCGGTGACGATGCGACGCTTCGCAACGGTGGATTGGCGCACCTTCGACGACGTCGTGAAGCAGTCGTTGTATTCGGCGAGGACGTCACTCAGCTGCCGTCGTTTCGAGCCTGGAATCTTGGGGTCAATGTCATGCTGAGCATGCGGCGTAATGTCTTGCTGAGGTGGCGATGATTCTTTAGCAATCGCGGCAATTTCGGAGGAGTTCTGAAGTTTTTCGACGTGGCCCACAGCGGCACTTGTCGTGAGGTGTTGAGTTTCTTGTCGGAAGTTTGTCACGAGGACCATGGTGCGCCCATCCTGAAGTTTAGACACTACCCTTGCGACGCCTATTCATTCCTCTTTCTAGGAGCAATTGAAGGTTTCCTTCCGGAACAACCTTTCCGCAGGTAGCTGCATCGATCACGACCGGTACGACAACGCTTGATCGCGGCGGCAGGTTCACGTGGTCGGCAGCGGCTCAGACGGCGGCTGACGCTGGGGGGTTTCTCTGAAGGTGGAACAGGCGTCCGCAGCGTCAATCTGTTTTCACCAAGGTCGATGACGGCGCCGTACTCACACAGGAAATCCATGCCGAGAATGACGTCCCTGGCACAGTCTTGTAGAAAGACAAATTTCACAGGGCACGTCTCACCGTGGATTCTTACGCGAGCGGTGCATCTTTCCAGTGGTGTGATGAGATGCCCTCCGGCGTTTCGTATTTGAGGTTCATCCCACGGCGTTGTCAATTTTCGCAGGCGGCTAGAGATTCTCCCACTCAAGGCTGAATAGTCTGCGCCGGTGTCCACGAGTGCCGATACGTCGAGGCCATCAATAACAAACTTTAGGCTGTTAGTGACTGTTGCAGGGGCGTCGGTGCGATTCGGGGCGTCAGGAGAGTGAGGGCGCTCCGGCATTCTTGCAGGCTGTTTGCTTCCGTCGTTTTCAGCAACGTCACCTTCAGGCGTTGCCGCACTAGGTTTTCCCGGCGACGGAGGTGAGATAGGCTCTCTCGGCGGGGTCATTGCGCTGCGGACGTTGAACGTCGTGGCGATGGGGAGCGGGCTTTACGGCAGAAGGACAACACTGGGGAGGGCGAGCGTTGGCGGTACTCCTTGATGTCGCGAGGAAGTTCGTCGTACCTTGGGCGCGAGTCGCTCGGGCGGAACCCGCGCAGCCCCAGCTGTCTGTAGGGGCATCGGTGGTAAATAAGGCCGGCTTCACCGCAGTGAGAGCACAACGGGCGTCAATCGACCGTCCTCTACACGTCGGTCTTTCGTGGCGCTGCTTGTTCTAGGTGGGCATGCGCACGACCTTCCTGGCGTCGGGAAAACTGCGGCGCTGGCGGTTCACATCGGTGTGGTGCCGTGACCTGGTGGTGAGCTTTCGGCGGTCGTCGGGCCATGGCGGCGTAGGTCAGTGTCGGTTCTTCGGGTGCGGCCACGGTGACAGGGGCATCTGGCAGAAACGCTCGTTGAACCTCGTCTCGTACGACCTCGACAATGGAGGTTGAGGCCGGGCGTTCAGCAGTCGGCAGAAGCTTCTTAAGATCCTCCCGGACGATGACGCGTATCATGTCGCGAAGGCCGGGGACGCTAGGGCTGATATCGTAGCCCGATGCAGAAGCAGCTGCGACGCTCAACTGCCGATGGTAGTGGCTGCCTTTTGCGAGGAGGGCACGTTCCATGTTCGTGGCCTCCGTGACAACGTCTTCGACGGTGGAGCGGGGCTGCGAACAAGACCACCGAAGATCT